CATCGTCTGTGAGAATGACTAGTTTTTTACTCTCTCTCAATCTATGACAATCACTACCAAATCAATGAGTCAACAACTAGGAGACAAGAACCCGGCCCATCGAGAGGAGGCTCCGCCTCCCCTCATGCCCTTGGAACCATCTACTATTGTGACTGGACAATAGCAACAACTCCTACAGACTATGTAATTGCTGGTAAAACAGAACCAACAGACCATTCAGTTAATGCTCGCCTAGGGAAGCACCGCCCCTAACATTGTAGGAGGAGCCCCACTCCCTCCAACAGGAGAGGAGCAGCAACCCATCCCTATTGGGTGCCAGGCAGCCCCTCACCCAACAGTCCCTCCTCAACGCATAAGGAGCTCACGTGTTCCCCCTCCACACGTACCTGCACGGGAGGAAGAAGACGAAGGAGAGAGCCAATATGGCGATCATGGAAGCCAGTACCACCACCCAACTGAGGATGTCCCTGATCAATGAGACGAGAAGATCAGAGAGCTGCAAAATCAACTCGGTGACCCCCTCAACGCCATCAAGGCACAGGCACTTGAAACGGTGAACTACTTGGTAAGACATACCGATACACCTTTTGTTGGTGATATAGTCAATTATCCCTTTTTCTCGAAGTTCAAGATGCCTACCATCGAGTGTTCAACGGTACCAAAGACCCCCTCGACCATCTAGACACATACAAATCCCACGTGCAACTCCACAACGTGCCTAAGGACATTATGTGTAGAGCCTTCCCTACCACCTTGAAGGGGTCTACTCATAAATGGTTCACAAAAGATTAAACCCTCCACTATCCACTCCTTCACAGAACTGAGTAGATCATTCGTCTCTCACTTCATTAGGGGACGCTGACATCAGGAATCTGTGACCCACCTGCTCACAATCAAGCAGGACAGGGATGAAAGCCTCAGGGACTACTTAATCCGTTTCAACGAGGAGGCTCTCCAGATTGAGGAGCCAGACGATAAGGTAGCCCTAGCTGCCTTTATCGTTGGTCTTCATTCTTCCAGTTTTATGTTCTTTGTCCTCAAGAAGTCGCCCTTCAACATGCCTGAGCTGCTGTCTAGGACATAGAAATACATGAACGCTGATGATGTCACCAATGCCCGTAGAGGTGAGTCATCCCGAGGAGGAGAGAAAAGGAAGGACACCCGCAAAGATAGGAGGGAGACAGAGAAAAAAAGGAATATAATAGAGAGAATCTTTGTCAAGGACCGCCTTGGTCCCCCACCTTTGAGAGAGCAACAAGCCTTCACGCCACTCAGTGCTTCAATGGAGCACATCTTATTCCAAATGCAGGATGATCCTATAGTACATTGGCCAAAGAAGATGAAGACCGTCCTGAACCGGAGAAGCCCAAACAAGTAGAGTTGTTTCTACTGCGACCACGACTATGATATTGACGACTGCTTTGATATTAAAAGACAGATTGAGGAGCTTATACAACGTGGTCAATTGAGGTAATACATTGCTGGCAGAGGACAAGCCCCACCACCTGGTCAGGACCAGGCTGGTAAAGAACGCCAGCAACCCCTCGGAGAAATCTAGACCACCTCCTAAGGGCCAGGAGGAGGAGTTGACCCGAACTCAACCAAGAAAACCTCGCCCCACTTATAGATGCCAAATACCATAATATTTTATCTATCTTTTTTTGTTTCAGTTATTTATTTTGTTATTTATTATTTTATGAAATAAACATCTGCGAAGATTATGGTGTCCAGAATTGTCTTATTTTCCTATATTTACAAATAGTTTACAAAAGTCAGAACATGACCTAACAACAAGGTAGACAAAAAGACAAAAGTAGTCATCAAGGCTTTCTCCGTCATCGTCTACCTCTGGTGCCTTATGTGGGACAAAGCCAGAATCAAGTGACTGTCTAACTGTTTTCCTATGTTACCCGAGAAGTCGCTTGAGCGACCTAAGACCTCGCCCAAACCAGCGTAAGTAGCCAGCGCCTAGGCTGGTGTCACCTAGGCCAGCTCTCAGGTTGGCATCACCCAGGCTTACTGTCGCCCACCAAGCTGATAGTCGCCCATCTTCTGCACGTCACCCAAGAAAGACCTCTCCATTCCTAACACCAATGCCCCTCGACGTCTGTGCCCAGCAATGTCCATCGCCCCTCAGTATCCGTGCCAAGCGCTCCTCAGCATCTGTGCCCAATGGCACCTAGAGCCCCTTGACGTCCATGCCTAGCCTTAGGGGCCCAGCAGCTGCCCAGAAGCTGGCGCCCAACACTAGGCGCCTAGTCTCAGGGGCCCAGCACCTCAGACGCCCAGCTGCTTAGCGGCCTCCTCATCTTTATATCTATGGAATGAGCCTCTACCACAACAGCCGTCTCCCAAGACTATATGTAGCTCGGCCTCAACTCCTACAACCCTCTCGAGGGATGTTTGCAGCTATGACTCTACTCTCGCACAAGTAGTCACGTAGTAAGCCTCTGCCATGACAGCCATCTCGCGAGACTATATATAGCTCGGCTTCAGCTCCTATGGCCCTCTCATAGAACGTTTGCAGCTATGACTCTGCTCTCACACAAGTAGTCACCTAGTTAGCCTCTGTCGCGGAAGCCATCTCTCAAGACTATACGTAGCTCGTCCTCAGCTCCTACGGCCCTCTCGTGAGGCATTTGCTACTATGACTTTGCTCTCGTGCAAGTAGTCACCTAGTAAGCGTCTACCACGGTAGCCATCTCCCGAGACTATACATAGCTCGGCCTCATCTCCTACGACCCCTTTTCCGAGACGGTTGCAACTATAACTCCACTCTTGCGCAAGTCTTGCGACCCTCTCACGGAATGTCCACAATTTTGACTTTGCTCTCTCTCTCTCTCTCTATGTAATTATGTTAGATATTTTAATGTTGGAATAACATTATTTTTTTCTCAGGCACACTTTTGAACTTTAGGCATTCTGCAACCCACAGGACTATATTAGATTGACACTGAGCCACTACTAGAAGCAGGGCAGCTAGGTGAAGCTAAAATCCCCATAGAAATCACATCAGAGTCTCAACTCTTATAGCGGTAAACAGGCTAGCTCTGGTATACACAAAAGTCCCAGTTTGGGAAGAAGTGGGGGCACCACTGGGTCCCATCTCCCAAGAAGCAACCCAGCCATCGTACCTTGACCAAGAAGCACTAAGGCCACCAAACCTCGCCCTCTTGAGAGGAGTGAAACACACCACCCTAAAAGCAGAGAGAGTCTCCAGATCAACAGGGCTCTTATAATTAGAGACAAGGTCAATTAGTGACCAAGCACTAGAGAGGCGCCGTCCATAGCAAGACTCAAGACGTCGCTCAAACACAGTAGTGCCAAGGCCTCTTGGAGTCTCCCAAGGTGCTGCCCAGCCTCCTCGCATCACTCAAAGCACCCTATCAGCCTCCAGGTGGCGCCCACGATAGCCTCCACCATCGCCCAAGAATGCCTGACAACTGTCTGCCAGAATACAACTTTCTCATCACCATCGGTTTCACTAATTTGTGCTTAAAACTCAAAAACAAAGAGATAGAAGCATTTTTTGGAAAAATGTGTTGACCAAGCCACCTTCGGTTATTTGTATGTTATAGATCTCGAAAAAATACCCAAATTTTAAAAAATAATTTGCCTCAAATGGACAACCGAGCACAAAGTTATGGTCGGTCAAAGTTTTGCTAATTTTCTGATACTCCAGCCACTGCCCAGTCTCCTTCTGGTGTCGCCCAAGGGGAGGCCACCAACAGGCGTTGCCCAAAAAAAAAAAAAACAGAGGAGGTGTCGCCCAAAGGGAGCCAGTAGCAGGCGTCACCTAAGGACAAAAAAAAAAGGAGGCGTCGCCAAAAGGGAGCCAACAGTACGTGTTGCCCAAAGAAAGAAAAACAAAAGAAGGTCGAGGCGCCACCCTCGCGGACTAGGGTGTAGCCTACACAGTCTTGGGCACCGCCCAGACTGTCCTCGGCATCGTCCGTGTAACCGAAGGCCTCGCTGCTTCTCTTCTCACCCAGAGAAGGTGCCCAACTCTCCGCCTACCTAACCCATCTTGGTTCTAGCGCTGCCTAGCATGCTTAGGGAGCTGCCCAACCATGGAGCTATCAAAAGAAGAGAAACATTTCCCAGAGTAGAGGAGCAAGAAGCTTAGGAAGCTAACACCGTGGAGAACAAAAAATTAAGAGCTCACTCATGCCCTCAACCCACCTTCTCTCACCAACAGCAAGAGGTTTGGGGCATAGGGGCAAATGATGAGCCCAAAATTAACTGGGTCAGGCCTAATAAAACAAGGAGTCCAAATCAATCGGGTTAGGCCCAAAGGAAGACCAAGACATCAACGCCTGAAGGAGATCCCAAGGGGCACCACCCAAGGGAGCCACCCCAGTGAGACCCATGCTCTCCTTTATTCCACGCTCCCTCTCCTTCGCACCGCCTCTGTGGTATCTCGCCTCACTTTGCCACTCCAACTCAAGTCCAACCCAACTCACTGCAACTCAAGTCCAATCCAACTCAGGATCCTCCTCCGACGGAATAAGAGCACAAGGGAGAGAATATCGAGATTCGAATTACGGAAATTTAGGGATTGTTTGATAACATTTTTGTTTTTGTGTCTTCAAAAACCCAAAAACAGAGACAATTTTCTGTCTCTATTTTATGATAAGCACTGAAATAAAAAACATGTTTGGTAGTCATTTTTGTCTATCAAATTATGAGAATAAAAATAGAAAACATGTTTGGTAACTACCTTAAGTTTTATCCTACATCATTTTTTTTTTTTTGAGAAAAATGTTTTTCCATCAATCAATGAATTACAAGAACCAAAGGAATTCAAAGAACTCTAATTACAAAGAGTTGGCTTTAATCCTTCAACAACACTAAAGCCATAAAACTATCCACACAGTCCAGCATCCAGACTGTTCATGCTAAGCATTTGCAAACAACACTTCCACTGTCAAAACCTCTATCCAATTGAATCCACAGAAAAAACCTACTAGCCATTTATCACAAACTTCCTCCTTCTTGCATTAGGCCACTGTTGCAACAAGAGCCTGATTAACAGCATTGTGAGCAACCACCAGCACAGACCTGCTTTCATGGGTTAGGATTTTAGTCCAGCAGCTTCTAGCACGTGCCCATAACTCCCTAATTGGGTAATGGTCATCAATATTGAAATTTGCCGCATCTATTTGCCACTGGTGATAAGCTGCACCAAACTTGGCTTTTCCCTCATGCTTAAGGAGACCCTAAAATTAATAATGGACAAGCAACCATTAAATACTGTGCATTCGAGTGTCTCATCCACCTGTTATTGAAGCATCTTTCTGTATTTTAATGAAAGCTGAGGCACTGTTGAAAGAAATGTGAGAAATCAAACTAACTTGTAAGGAGTACAGGTCAATTTCTCTCAATTCAGAGTCAGTAATTATCTCCTCCTTGCAAGAACCCCAGATAACTTCAGCTGTTCTCTTCGATCTAATCAATGGGCTGAAATGCATAAACTTTCAGAGAATGGTTCTAGGAACATATAACAATGATCAACTGATCTACACACAAGAATCCATTAACCTAAAATACAAATCTAATATTCAGATTCATGGACTCATGATCAATGTCACCAAAATAAATATGATTACATTGCATGTGGGTATCACAACCAATTCCTCCCTTAGGTTTATTAAAGCATCAGAATACACAAAATGATGACATTAAAATAATATTTATGGCAGTAAATATCATAAGAAAGGGTAACTATGTCACTTCTATTTCCTAGAAGCCCCATTCATGATCAGAGACCCAAACATTGAAAATGCATTTGATGGAATCTCAAACGACGAGGTGCAACAACAAAAATTCCAAGCAATCCCTAACTAAATTTCAATCGCCAAGGGAAATGCTTGGCTCTTCTGACTGTCAACTGATGTACTTTTGACAGAAAGGATCCCTATAACCTTAGACAGAAAGTTTCGTATCTATTGCTCTTTATGCAGGAAAGAGGTGCAAGCTGTGGAGATTTTCTCTGGACAAAGGGGAAAAAATGAGTAGGTTTCATAAAGCACTTTGAGAAGATGTCTCCTTTGTCATCGTTTAACACAAATACATAACTACCAAAATCAAGTTTAAAATTCTTGGGTTCCCCCAAATTTTACCTTCAACAAGATTTCTAAGTAAAGGACAGAATAATTAAAGCTCAGCTCTGCTTCCAATCTAGGTATAGCAAGTGCACATACCTAGGAATTACAATGCCTAAGGCACCTTCCCCTACCTCCAATCCAGCGTCAATTAGATAAACGAACCTTCCTGGTTGTCGCAAAAAGATATTTTCATACTCGTTGTATTACTCTGAACAGTCAACAAGTGATAGGAAGTGAGAATAGGATTTTTTTTCCTTTTGGTCTTTGAAGAATTAGCTTTCACTTTCAGTAAGTCCTTTAATAGATCTCCATCATATCACCCATTCCATACCATCAATACAACCTCCATAACAAATATTAGATTACAAATCTTCCAGATTGTACACTCCAATTGAATGAGGCACCTCTCAAACTATACTCCTCGGGCACAAACATTGGTTATCAAGCTAAACATCTCCAAAAAAATCTAAAAAGGATTCAATATTTTACACTAAATTTTCTCAGCATCCTAATCATTGCCCTGTGGTACCACAGCAAATGAAGCAGGGTATTCATAGAACATAACATTTACGACATAAAATGCAGTATAACTCGAAAGATCAAAGCTAAGGGCACACCAAGTGTTCGATATAATGCCATATCACAATCTACACATATACGATGACATTTATATGTACAAAGTACAGAGAGAGAGATAGAGAGAGAAGGTGAGACCTTGTTGAAGAAGATCTAGCCGCTGGAAAGGGCGATGTAGAGGAGAATGTAGAAGTAGGTTACGACTTCATCTCTGACCAGTTTCCCCATCCGATTCGCCATTGTTGGGCACGCACACTTTCTTACTAAATCAGTGACTCGTGGCCTGTCAAGGACGGATTTGTACGTAGGCTTCTTCCTCGATCTGTGACTGGAAGTCCCTTCTCTTGAGGTAAGCCATCTTCGATCGATCTCCTGAGAGAGCTAGCTGAGACAGAGGAGAAGAGAGGCGCTGATACAAGGAAGAGAAGAGAGGCGATGTTGAGTCGTTTGTGTTATGAGTACCAAACGATTAAGACCACATTTATATACTCTCTGATATGTAATGGTATTTTATAGCTAAGATGAGTCGAAGTTGAGATATCATTAATATCAATCACGCGTGATTTGTGTTTCTTGTGTTTTTGGAAACACAGATTTTTTGGTCTCATTTTTTTGTCTTTATCTCCAATACAACTAAAAAAAACAAAATTAAAAACAGTTATCAAACATATTTTTGTTTTTATTTTTGACAAAAATTGAAAATAAAAGCACAAAACACGAGACAAACACGGTTACCAAACATACATTTAATCCTACGCTAACTATACTTACTAAAAAGTAGTGATCGTCTCACCACAACTATACTTGTAAGCCCTCTCCATGCGAAGGGCATCACCTTGAAACCTCTACACACCTCTCTAGGCACATTACTCTTCTCTTCCAAGGTATTGTAATTCACCTAGAGTACACTCTTCCAGTTACTTTATTCATTAATAAAACACCTTAGGCCACTGCTGCCGTTCCCGAGAGTAGAGTAGATCACTTGGATCGAACCACTATAAATCTGAGTGTTTGCTCTAATTAAATGCTTTATCATTAATTGTTTGTTTACTGCTTATTAATTGCACCTAAACACATTCTTGACTGTTGATTTTGCGCAATAGCTGTGTATCATCAAAATTAACTAAAATGCATTCAAGTTTTAACCCAAAAATTAAAGCAAGAATATACTATTATAATGTCATAATAATGTTAAGAACTATACTGTCAATTACCATAAGAGAAGTAATAACTAATAAGTAATAATGTTAAAACCTCATCAGTCATACATAATAGACAAATTATACTTCCATAAACGGGTTAAATGAGTCTACAATGGTTAGATCGGATTTGTGTTCGAATCATGTAAACCCATTTAAAATATACGGGTTAATCAGGTCAAAATCAAGTTGACCTGATTTTGACATGAACCCAATATATTATTTTTTGTAATTAAGTGTGTTGATCTATTTTTACCCATTGACCTGTTTAATTTCATGTTTGAACCATTAATTTTGTATTTGGTTTATGTTGTGTTAACGTGTCGTGTCAAAAATTGACACCATACCCATGGCTCCCTTGTTAGACATAGACAGAGATTTGCAGGTATCTACACATGTATACATTATGAAAGGATAAGGCTATGGTTTCGATTAAACAATTGATCAAAAAAATATAAAATAAATAAATTTTTAATGTGTTAATTTTTTCATTGAATAAAAAGTGAAGGTATGGTACTAAAAAAATATATATTGGTGTTGTAACCATAGTTTTAAAACCCGTCCCGACATTGGTCAACAAGTTACTAATTCAACCGTTGGGTCATTGGTCGAACCGATAATATAATAAAAAATAAAATAATAATAATAATAATAAATAAGTTAAAAAATCAATGAAAATAGTATCCTTAATGCATATTAAATCACACAAAAATCCCAAATTCATCAAATTGAATATAATCACTGTAATAAAATCTATATCAAATCAAATTTAAGTAACATTTTCACCAAATCAAATCTAAATACAAACAATCTTAGTTTTAGTGTATCAACAAAGCCATAATCAATCAACCCCGTAACCATATAATTCAATATTAGTGTGTATAATATACCAATTGTAATATGCAAAGAGAGGGGGGGGGAGAGGACATACTTGCTGGTGCCTGGCATCTTGCTTGAGGGAAGAAAATGTGTAGAGAATGAGTACTGAAGCCAATGGAGGTTTGATCGAGTCCATGTCCAGCCTTTGAGTCTTCACCAGTTCCATTTCTACAACACGCAGAGCGGTAGTCATCGAACCGACCTTCGATTTGAGACTGTTAGCCATTCGTGAAGCAAGGAAAGGTAGAGCCAAAGACCTAAATACAAATCAAACTGAGAGAGAAAGTATGAAAGTATGTAGTGTGTACCTGTTCCTTTCCCTTCGAATCTTCGATCGAGGCTTATTACCCCTTCGAGCATCCACTGCACACTACTGCATAGACTAGGCTAGAGATTGAGAGATTGAGAGTCTGAGTGAGAGAGAGAGAGTGAAAGACTCGCGTTGAGAGGAACGGCGTCCACCACTCCACCATCTCAAAGAAGGGGGTTGGGCAAATACAATTTAGGACAAAATGCCCAAAAGGGCCAAAAATCAACCTTTTATACTAAATTAAATCACCCATTCGGTTTGATGGAACCCACCCAGTGTGACGATTTTACCTGAGCTTTTGCCGGTTCACCGGGTTGACTCCGGTTCTTATGCATAAACGATTTAATATGTGAACCGGTCTGGTTTAGGCACCGGTTCACCGATTCACCAGGTCAACCCATCGAGCCGGATCAAATTTTAAAACACTGATTGTAACAATACGAAACTGGTTGTAACAATATGAAAATACGAAACTGACCTTCTTGAAGACGTCATTTTGCTCGACTTTTTAATGACTTTTTCATACCTTTTCTTTCAGGATTATTTAACAGTGTTGTCCAAAAACGTCATTTAAANAAGACGTCATTTTGCCCGACTTTTTAATGACTTTTTCATACCTTTTCTTTCAGGATTATTTAACAGTGTTGTCCAAAAACATCATTTAGAATGACAATTTTAGAAGTATTTGAGTTGGAGAAATAAATTTGAAACTCTTTTTTATTTAGGTAACATTTTTAAACCTTATGGCTATGGTGAAAAAATCTTTTTCTTCCTTAAATTCTCATGTTTCGGGGTGGTTTAAAATTTCAAATTCTTTCTCTTTTCTAATACGAAGCATAGTACAATTTCGTTAAAAAAATTCCTTGGTTTGATCCACTTGTCAAAATAAAGAATTTTAGATTCTTATTAGCAATTCTAAATAAATATAAACAATGTCGCGTGAGCACAATAAGCTTGGTAGATAACTGTTTTGCTCTCTTCCTTTTTATATTTAGGGTGACAATCGAGACATACTGTGTCGCACAAGTTATGGCATTTAGGGCTCGTTTGGTTGCCATATTAAAAATGGATGGATTAGATAAAGTAATATAATCTAATACAATATAAATGAATAAAAAATAACATTAAATATGGTATTAAANTAATATAATCTAATACAATATAAATGAATAAAAAATAAAATTAAATATGATATTAGAATAATACGTAATTTTATTTAGTGTTTGACAATACACAATATAAGTGTTGGATAGTAGTTATTTAATCTAATCAGTTGTTTGGTTAGAAAATTCTTTCATCGTTTTAATGTTAAATTAACAAAAATACCTTCAATCAATATTTGGTACATTGATAACACCTTGATTTTATCACATGGGGAGTTTTACTAATAAATATGTAAA